TAAAAGGACCTTTCCTGTTTCGGCGGAGGCTTTATTGCCCTCCGCGCAAGTGACTTCCTTCAGCTCCCACAAGGAACCTGGGATGGTTAATAAATGACGGCCGTGAATGAAGACTTTCTTGATGTTTCCAGAGGAATTCTTTTATCAGGCTGAACTAGGAGATGGTGTGTCTCTGGACATGCCTCCTCATTGTGCAATGGCCCTGTGCTCAGAATTCTTTCAGCAGCTTATGAAAGAGCTGAGTGAACTCACCTTGAATCACGCAGATAAGCAGAGAGGAGAAACCTGTCAGGATCTACGAGACTCCGGCCAGCTCTGGGCGCTGGCGCCTCTCTGCTCTGTCCTTGTTTGTCGAGGCTTCTCTCTGCTCCTCCGTTTCGTCCTCCCTCCCTCCCTCTCCGGACCCCCTCAGTGGAAAGAGGAATCAGCTGAGATGGGCATTCTCCCTTCCACAGCATTAGCCTGTGTGCTTGATGGCTGACCCTGACACTCTGTCGGACTCAGAGCTGGTGTGGGCCGTTGGCGGTGGGGGGTTCTGTTGGCTTTTGCTGGTGGGCACTGAGTGTGGCCAGTGGTTCCTTACTCCTTCCGGTGCTTATGACAACAGCAGTGGCAGCTGTGCATGCCCACATGCGGTTGGCAAGACATGGGTTCAGGAATCAGTGCAAACGTCCAGAACTGGTCAGAAGCCAGGCCAGGTAGTCTTCAAGTGGATGCTGGTCCCATGATGTCTCACTCCACCTTGGCCAATGGACAGAACCACCCAGCAGCCACCGGCCAGCCTGCTGGTCACTTCCTAGCTATCTAGTGTGTCCAGTCCTCTGCAGTGTCAGCATCTTCGTGGCACGTTAGAATGTGTGTGTCATGTAGAGATGAGCAGAAAAATGGAGTTTCCGTGGATTGCAGCACTTCGAATTATGATTTCTTGGACACCACCGAACACCGCACCCAGCCCTGGTGTACCCGCCTCCCTCTCCTAGGGAACCCCCCAAACCGACTGAGGAATTTTTAGAAGGAACCAACTGTGTGAGTAGAAGCTGGGTCTGGGCCAGAATGTCGCCATCTTCCCAGAAGTCCCCGTCCCCTCCCACGTGCTGCCAGTTTCCAGAAAGCCCTCACCTGACGGCCGACAGCTGGCAGGCTTGTTGTGTGTCCCGTGTGTGTGCACCCTGCCAGCCTCTCTCAGTGCCCACTTGAGGTTTGTGACATGGTGGCCCGCCACCTTTCGTTGCCTTTGCACCATTTCATTTGGCCTCTGGCTTTTTGTTTGGTGTAACATTGGGTCAGGGGCCAGCATGGATTTCTCCAGACCCCTGCCAACGTGCCTCCCCTGCCCCTCCCCCACCGCCATGTAAATGGGATGCAGAAATTATGTGAGATCTTTGGGGGTTGCACCCAGGACTGGGAAAGCCACTTTTGAGAGGAAGGAGAACGCTTATTGGCAGAGGAAAGCTCTGTGGGTCTCTGAATGAACTCATGTTCCTTAATGTGAACTTCCTGTTAAGAAATTAAGGTCTGGAGTGGTGGGTCTCGGTGTGAGGGTCCCAGATTCTGCGTCGCCTCTATAGAGTTCAGCCAACAGAAGCTCCCACCCGGCCAGCGCTGTGGGCACTCAGGCCGGCCGGCGTCTCCCGCAGCCCTTACAAGTGTCTTCACAGTGGCTGCTGAGGTCGGGGATGGTGGCTTGGTCAACACTTTTGATTCTGCACCTCTTGGACTCGATAATGACAGACTGACAGCGAGGGTGTCTGCATGCCCCTTTCTGGAAGAACTTCTAGCTTTACTTCCCAGTTGTTACTGTGTTTGGCATATCGAATACATCACGGGGAGCTTGCCAGGCTCTGCCGTGTGGGCGAGATACTCTCGGTAGCTTGCCGGGCTCTCCGAGAGGGGCGGAGGAATCGAACTCGGGTCGGCCATGTTGGCTGTGTGCAAGGCAAACGCCCTACCGCTGTGCTATAACAGTTGTCACAATGGAGACGTTACTGGGCCCACTGGAGCAAATAGATGAACAACGGGAGGACAGTGACAGTGACAGCACTTCCCAAACGCTCTTGCTTCTAGAGCTTTGTGTGTTCCCTCTCTTGCGCTCAGCACCTGCCCCTCCAGACGGCCCAGGGACGCCCTCTGCTGGCGGCTCCTACCCCAGGACACGAGCAGCCCCCCTCTGCCCTGCAGGGTCCAGCCAGGAGGGTCTTCAGAGTGCACGTGGGGACACGCAACATCAGAAGGCTGTTTCGGGTCAGGGAGCAAAAGTGCAGCCTGGGAATGAGGCCACAGCCCCCCCCCCCCCCGCCCTCTCTCGGGCTGAGTCACCTCCTAGCTGCCCAGCGGGCCCCTTCCAAGTCAGCATGTCCACACACCGGCTCCAGGTCACGTCACCATACGTCCTGCCCCAGCTCTGCCTCTGCAAGTGCCCGTTCACCTGACCCGCCTGCTCCCCGCCCAGCCTTCCTCCCGCCTGTCCCCTCATCCCCAGAGACCACATCACTTCCGGTCGCCAGGTGTGTCACCTCCGCGCCCCGGCCGTTCTGGGTGACATCAGCGGTGCGGCCCAGTTCTGTCACTCGCAGACAGACGGTGTGAAGGGCTCGCGCCCACAGAGCCCCATCCGCTCAGTGCCTGGGGAAAGTCCCGGTCCTGGCCTCTGCCCCAGCAGGGCCCGTCCCCCGGACCTGGCCGCACGCCCTCCTCCACAGGGGCATTTGCTCAGGGCCGGGTGGCACTGGGGGCGCCAAGCAGTTGACCCTTTTCTTAGAGGGTGTACAAAAGGACACAGGGACAGATGCAGAGACTGGGTGCAGTGACCGGCCTGTGCTCTCTCTTCCCCGGGGCCAGAAACCGGGAGAGGCCCAGCTGGAAATAAATCCTCATCTCCTGGCAGCAAAACATCTTGGTTCCACCCCGAGAGAATCCTGTTTTCCCTCTCTTAGGGTGCTCAGGACTCTCCCCCCCCGGAGTGCCCGCTAGGCCGGGCCCTCTCACCCACACCTGCCAGCCACAGGCTGCTCCCAGCCCTGGCCTTCCCCGGCTCCCCTCCCCGGACCTGGAGCGGGATGTTTTGATGCCGTGTCCTGGAGACGAAGGTTTAGGGTCACATCACATCCTTTTATGGCAGCGGGCGGGCAGGCGGGCGGGCGGGAGCACTTGACTATTGATTAACCCGAGGGAAACAGCCTGGTGTAGCTGGCACAGGCGTCTCCAGACCGTCTCTAGCGCGGACACGGGATGCAGTCTGCAGTGTGGCCGGCAGAGATGGGCCGCCTGAGTCCCCGAGCGCGAGGTTTGTCGCCCTCCGAGGGGAGCTTCCCGCCGCCTCCTCTCTGGGTCACTGAGGCCGTTTCTCTTCCCGTTCGATCCTGTGTGATGTCGTCTGTTCCACGCACTCTCTTTGGAGACGTGAGCCCCGGCCATGCAGTGACACCTACGGCCTGTAAGCAGGGGACCCGGGACAGTTTGGAGTCTGCGTGATTTCCGTATTCTTGGCCGCCTTTGCCACAGCAGGAGCCGTCCTCTGCACGGAGATCGGGGCCTTGCGAGAGGCGCGGCTCCCCTTTCGTAGCACGGATGAGGATTTGACTCTGGTTCTCCCGCTTTACTGTCCGCAGCAGGTGGGGGGGCGGTGGTGGTGTGGGGCGGATGCTGGGGGCTTCTGTTCCCAGAGGGTCGTCACCGCAACGCAATGCACTAGGGCTCATTCTAGGATCTCAGGGGTTGCTACTAACCACAAGGGTAGCCGTGTTGCTTTCGGGCCAGGAGGCAGGTTAGGATTCAGGAAATCATCGCGTGTGATGTGGAAATCCAACGAGTAGGCGTTTCCACTTCAGAGCTCGTGGGTACCCCTCTTTTATGCATTTCCAGCATTCACCTGCTCCCCAGTGCCACGCTGGAGGTCCACCCCCACCCACCCACCCAGCCAGCCAGCCAGCCAGCCACTACATTTCCTTTCAGCCCCCACACCCTCCCCCTCGGCCAGAGCGCTCTTGGGGCAGAAACCCATGGGATGGACCCGTCTTGGAGACACAGATCCGAGAGGCTGCGCCACCTTCCTGCTGAGGGCAGAAACCATGCTTGGCCTCTGCTCTGTGCTGGGCATCTGCTGGCCCCAGGCCGTTGGCTGCACTGCTTCTGAGGGCAGGTCTAGCGCGTGCTGGGCACAGAGCAGCCTGCAGTGAGCCCGGGAGGCGTGGATCCAGCCGGGCCGGGCCCAGAATGATTGGTGGGCCAGGAAGGAAGCTCATCTTTCGGGGACATGGAACCAGGGCCTGGGCTGCCAGGCATCTTGACGTGCTGGAGTGAGGGCCAGCACCCCGAGATGGAGGGTGGACCAGCACCCTGAGATGTGCCCACGGCCATTGGAGTCTGCGGCTCTGGGTGCTTCCAGTGTGACCTTCTCGGGGCACCCCCGGGTCTCACCTTGGCTGATGCAGGAGGGAGAAAGGGGAGCAGAGGAGGACCTGGGAGAGTCCCCGTGAAGCCACCTCTTCTCCTCCCACTCAACGGAGTCCAGGCTGGGCACGGGCAGGGGCAGCTTGTGCGCTGAGACTCTACGGAGGCTGGAAAGAAGGACCCTCGCTGCAGAGGCGGGGGTCCACTGGAGAAACGTGGGGGCGGGTTGGAGCAGGGGCCAGGAAGTGTGGCCTGCCAGGTGGGGATGTTTCAGGACGCTTCAGGACTGGGAGGGCTGTGAGCAGGACAGAGCCCAGGGCTGGCTTCTGGGGAGAGGGACCCACCAGGTGAGGGGTTGGCTCTGCCTTCTGGAACCTTCTGGCAGGAAGCAGCGTCGTGGGTCAGTGTATGTCCAGTGCCTGCGGGTTTGGCAGGTCCATGGAAGCGCTGCAGGCCGTGGGCCCTGTGTGGGCTGAGGAGTCTCCAGACACGTGGGTGACAGTGGTCCCCGGGTTTGGGTGGGCAGATGGCCCTGCTTCCCCCCCCCGACTTCCTGGCCCCCGAGGCGGCCCCAGAGAAGCCCCCTGACATGTGCCTCGTTTCCCGTGCAGACAGCCCGCGAGAGAGTCCTGACCCCAAGGACACGTATCTCCTCCCGAGAAACATCATGGCGGAACCCGACTACCTGGACGATGACAACCCTGAGCTGATCCAGCCCCAGAAGCTGATCAACCCTGTCAAGATGTCCCGGAACCACCAGGATCTCCACCGAGAGCTGCTCATGAATCAGAAAAGGTAAGTATCTCCGGAGTGAGCTGCCCCCTACCCCATGCCTTAGATTTGCAAGCTCTGGCAGGCGGCAGGGACCCCCTGTACGATCCTGGCCCCCTTCTCCAATGACGCAAACTGCCAATTTGGAAGAAGGTAAAAGCAGAAGAGAAAATGCATTCCTTTCCCACTTCAGAGCCTCTCGCCTGTGGGAAAGTGTGGAAATCACACAGCAGTGCTTCTTGCTCAGCCCTGAGCAGAGAGAAGACTCGAGAACCATTCGGGCTCAACTAAAGGTCCAGATATCCCCTTTCTTAGAGTTTCTGCTTTTTAAGTTGCACCAAAAGTTATTACTGGCATCATTTCTGTTCCTAGATTTTCTTAGAACAGCGAAACAGCCTCTTCCTATCTTCCTGGTTAAACCACTTCTCAGCACCGTCTGTGCCGTGGAGAATAAAGAAGTTCTGTCCACTGGGGCAGGACGAAGGCGCTTTCCTCCTCTACCCGTCGTCACGGCCTTGCAGCTTTGTCCCGGCTGCTGTGCTCACCTGCCTTCGACTCACGGGGTGCAGAGGCTCCCTGGGCACGCAGCTTCTCCTGCCTTGCCTCTTGATTAAGGAAGGAACAGGGTCAGCGGTGGTTTTTTCTAGGGACAAGTCAGAAAAGCTTGCTGGGGAGAAGAGACAGACACGCAGCCTCCAGCTCAGTGAGCGCCCCACGGTGCTGAGTCCCAGGAGTGGGTTTTCTCTGGGGATCGTAGGATTGAAGCCAAGTCCCTGCCCGGCAGAGCAGTTGTTCCAACTTGGAAACCTGCACTCGTTCTGGAACAAAGTCTGCCCTGCTCTCGGCCAGCTCTCGGCCAGCTCAGCTCCAAAAGAGACAGTCCCCTGTCACTGCGTGTTTTTTGTCAGCATAGAGGATGGCTGGGAGTGCGCCCGGTGCCGGCCGTTGGTTTCAAGAGGCAGTCCTCCTCTCTTTTGTAGTTGAAAGACAGTTCTCATAAGTTCTTAAAAATGTGAACGTTTCCAGTATAACTTAGAAAGACTCAGTCTTCGCAAAGAGCACTTGGGGTGGGGGCAAGTTTAGAACCCTCACTGTCTAAATCCATCCCTGAAATCGTTCTCAGCCTGGTAAGTCTCACAGCAGTTTCTCATTCCTGAGGTTGATAGTTGGTCATTTGGGGCATCCTTTGCTCAGAGAAGCTCAGTGATTAACTGTTGCCGTGCACCTGGGAAGAAATACAGGCAGCAGGGATGTTTGCGTTATGACCCCCAGAGCAGGCCCCGGGCAGCCGTGGCACTCCCATCCTCGCCACCAGCAGGCGCAGCTTTGTCCGCTGCGCCTGGGCTTAGGGGTCTGTGCAATGGGTGGAGGAGCAGACGGTCCCAGTGAATCGGGCTGCCCCACGTAGAGCTGCGCCCCCATAACCCCGGTGGGGCCCTGGCCTACAGTTGGAGATGTTCGCCCCGGCCTCTGCAGGGACACATAGCCATGTGGCTCTCTGGGCCTGGAGCCTGCTGCTCGTAGCCCTTTGAGGGCAGTTTAGCTGCAGACTGGGGATAGGAAGCAGGCAGCTGCCTGGCGAGCACATCTCACATGCTCGTGTTGGGGGCAGGCAGCCCTGCAGCCCCCCTGATGCCCCCCGGAACAGCAGCAGGGCGGCGTGTGTGCCTGCAGGAGCAGAGGGGGCAAGCGAGCACTGTTTGGGGAGTGGGAGGAGCATGCAGGGATGGAGTGGGTGGGTGCGGCCCAGACGGGCCCCCCTCCCTGGCCCGAGTTCAGCGTCACCGTAGAGAGGCCCACAGGACGGGCTCGGGAAGCGAGGCGGTGCCCTTTGCCCCTTGCCATGCAGTGATGGCATCTGTCCATGGCTGTGTCGGGTCACCCGCAGCTCCTACCGTGTCTTTCCCCCACTCCCGGCCCAGAGACTCCTCAGCAGTGCTTGTCCGTTCCGCACCAAAGGCTCAGCCGTGGGCTCCGATGAAATATTCACGACGTTGCTCCAACTCTCACTTATTCAAAGTGCAGAACATTTATCATCTCAGCGCCATCCCCGACTTCTCTCTTTCTGGGTCGTTTATCTTTCTGCCGTGCTCGAGTCCCGTCTCAGCCCAAGAGTGACAGTAGCTCAGCGAGGCCCATGCCGGGCTCGCAGCGAGGGCTGCTCTGGGCGCCTCCATCGCAGGGGCTTCCCCGCTCCCGCCTCATCCCAAAGACCTTAGTGATGGTGCATTTGCCCGTGGAGGGCGGGGAGGGAAGGAGGTTTGCAGTTGAGTACAGAGCGCTGAAGTCCCTCTCCTGAACTTGCCTCCCCCACGCGGTGTGGTGGGACACAGGGACTTGGAGCAGAGACAGTCGTTCCTGTGCTCAGTGGTGCTTCCCTGGTAGCGAAGCCAAGCTGCTTTTCTGTGCCCATCAGCAGGCCTGGCCTGCTCCTGCCAAGACCCTTTCCCTGTGGCTGGTCCTTCCGTTAGGCTCCCAGGCCCCAAAGACACAGCCCTTTGCTTGTTTCTTTTTGCAGGGGTCTTGCCCCGCAGAATAAGCCAGAACTGCAGAAGGTGATGGAAAAGCGAAAACGGGACCAAGTCATGAAGCAGAAGGAGGAAGCGGCGCAGAAGAAGAAATCGGACCTGGAGGTCGAGCTGCTGAAGCGGCAGCAGAAGCTGGAGCAGGTGGGCCGGGCGCGAGCGCGCTGGGTCCTGGCCGGGTCCCTCTCAGAGTCTCTGTGGCTCACGGCGAGTGGTGCCACGGGGCTGCTTCCCGCCCCCACCTGGCTGTCCCCACCATCTCTCGGCCTTTACAGGAGGGTATTTCAGATTTCTCTCAAAAATGGTAGCATTTGCCTTCCTCGGATTCTTTTTTTTTTTTTTTTTTTTTTTTTTTTTTGCTTTTTGGGTCACACCCAGCAATGCTCAGGGGTTACTCCTGGCCCTGCACTCAGGGAATCCTGGTGGTGCTCAGGGGACCATATGGGATGCTGGGGATTGAACCCAGGTTGACGGCGTGCATGGCAAACGCCCTACCCGCTGTGCTATCACTCCGGCCCCCTCAGATTGATTTTGAAGGTTGCCTTTTTTTTGTTGTTTTTGTATTTTATGGCGGGGGGGGGGGGGGGAGGAGTCACACCTGGCAGTGCTGAGGGCTAACTCCTGGCTCTGTGCTCAGGAATAAGTCCTGGCAGGGCTCTTGGGGACCATACGGGATGCTGGGGATGGAACCCTGTGAGCTGTGTGCAAGGCAAACTCCCTCCCCAATGTACTATCGCTCTGGCCCTGTCTTTTTTTTTTTTTTTAAATATTTCTCAGTGCCAGGGACCGTCCCCAGGCATTCAGTCACACTCTGCTTCTCGGCCGCCTCCTCACCCCAGCCGCCATCTCGGTCTGTAGGACGGGGCAGAATTTTCCAGATAGGCCCCCCGCCATGAAAGGAAAACATAGGGCCAATTTGTCCACAAGTGGGCTGAATGCCATTCAAGGAAAGAGGGGCTCTCAGGGGGCCCTCAAGGAGATTCCAGGGGCACAGCCCCAGCCAGGACTGGGCCCTGAATCTCACCAAGACTCCAGGATGGCACCCAAGAGATCAGACAGCAGATGGGGCACTTACCTGGCATGAGCGGGCCCGGGCACAGTTTTCAGTGTCCACTCCCCGCTGGCTCCCTGAGCACTGCTGGGTTAGCCCAGCGGCAAACAAGCGAAAACAGAATTCAGGGCAAGCTTTTCCCCTTGGCTGCCATGTCTGAATTTCTCAGCATCTCCCCAGTTTGCACAGAGACAGAGAGGATCACAGGCACGTGTGCGTGTGTGTGTGTGTGTGTGTGTGTGTGAGAGAGAGAGAGAGAGAGAGAGAGAGAGAGACAGAGAAACAGAGACAGAGAGACGTGTGTGGGTGGGCTCCAGGAGGAACTTCCCGCTCCCACTGCCAGAATAAGTCAGGAGGGACTTTGGAAAGACGAACAGGGTTTGGGAAAGTGACTCACAGGGTAAGTAATGTCCCTCTTTCTGGATTTCATTTAGCTTGAACTCGAGAAGCAGAAGTTGCAAGAGGAGCAAGAAAATGCACCCGAGTTCGTGAAGGTCAAAGGCAACCTCAGGAGGACGGGCCAGGAAGTGGCCCAAGCGCAGGAGTCGTAGGTGTGAGGCCGGAAGCTGCCCAGGCCTCCTGCCTGCTGGTCCTGGGCCCCGCGTCCAGCCCGGCCCGGCCAGCACTGTGACTTTAACGAGGATTCGGTTCCCTTCTCCTCCACTCTGGGTGCACCAGCCGCCTGTGACCGTTACAGTTCCGATTCGCCAAATGAAGGACATAAACCAGCGCGGACGTCGGATAACGCACCTGTGCTCACGGGCGCCCACAGCAAGGCCACGGTCACGGAGGAGGAGGAGGAGAACACGGAATCCATGTTTGAAAGTGGCTTCGCTATCGCGCCCAGGCTGCGTCCAGCTGAACACGGTTTCTTCCTCGGGACCCCAGGATGGCCTCATCGCTTCTCTCATCACTGTCGGGGAATCCAGTAGATCGCCTTTAAGTGCCCTCGACGGATGCGCTGCTCCCAAAGCTTGCAGGTCGCGGGTCAGGCAGCTGAAATGTTCTCGTCTCCGTCTGCTTTCGCCTATGTTCAGATGAGCACCCTGCGTGACCAGGGCTCACCGCTGGCCCCGGCCCCCATCCCGGCAGTGGGCGGGTGGGAAGGGTCAGAAATCTGGAAACTTTTCCTGCTCATAAACATAAGTCGGCAAACATCCTCCTTTGGTCTCCTTTGCGCTGCTTTGGACCCTGGGCGCTTCGCCGGCTCCATGTGTGGCGGTTTTTGGAGATTTCCTGCTGAGGTCTGAAAGCCGCCCAGCCAGGCCACGGGGGAATCACGTCCATCTGTCTGCGGCCCGGCTTCCGTGGCAAGATGCAGGCTCTGGGGCTCTTGCTTCCCCTGAGAGCACAGCACACTGGCAGCTCACTGCTTCCGGCCAGCAGGTGCTCCTGGTTTGGGTGGGGGGCAGTTTCGAGACCACCCCTGGCAGTATGTGGGTGCTCAGGGGAGTTGCTCCCAGGGGTGCCCGAGAGGCTGTGTGGTGTCAGCACGGGCCTGGGCTCAGCCACGCATGCCCGGCGAGTGTCTTCACGCCAGCCTCCCTTCTTCCTTCTCTGGGGTTTTTAATGTGAAGCAAACAGAGGCCAGCCTCTGGGGGCCCCTGGCGGGAGACTGGATAGTGATGAGACTCCAGGCTCCGCGGATTCTGAGAAATGAGCACACTGTGCTTTTCCTCTCCCTGTCCTCCTCACCCTGTGTCTATGAGTGAGTCTCAGGAAAGCCAGGGGTGGGGAGAGGCCACTCGGCACCTCCCTTCACAGCCTACCCGAGCCAGCGCCGGTTAGGGCTGGCACCAAGATTCTGCAGGCAACATCCATTTAAATTGCAGTGACGGGCAGTCTGGATGGTCTGGGGGTACAACCCATTCTCTGTACAAACAGATGGTTCGGCCAGTGATTCCTGATGCATGTCCCTGGCCCCCACAGGGGCTCTCAAGTGCGGGGGCCTGAGCACTGGGGGCTGGCGGCTAGCACTGGGACGCTTTCGTGTCTGTAGCTGACATTAGGCTCATTCAGTCCCAATGTGCAGATAACAAAGTCGAGGGAGTGCAGCCACTGCCCCTGACCCGTGATGCTGCAGAGCAAACGCCGTCCTGTCCAGGTTTGCTTCTGAGAGACGGCATGGTGACCGGGGTTAGGCGGCGTTTGGGCCACATCTGCCGACGCTTGGGAGTTACTCCAGATTCGATGCCTGGGGTTGCTCCCTGCAGTGCTCGGGGGACCAAGGGATCAAATCCAGGCTCCTGCTTGCAAACTCTGCCCTCTGACCCCCTGAGCCATCTCCCCGGGCCCCCCACATCCCACTTCTGATCCTTCATTGTCTGAAACTCTTTCTCCGTGGACACGGGCTGATGGCTGTGACTTGTGCAGGGAAGATTCAGGCAGGGCGAGCATTGCCTGTCACGGGATGTTGGCTCCTTTGGTCCCGCGTCCCTGAATCCTTAAGCCACTGGACCACTTGGTGAAATTTCCAGGAGCCCACACCTTCCTTGTGAAGGGCCGGTTCTTTTCCTCCGGCCCACTGAGAACTTCTCTTGGAAAAAAAAAGTAAATCACGAAAGCCTTTTTCTGCCGGACCCCCCTTCTCCCCTCCCCCCACGCCGCTACAGGCTTCTTTGCAGTGAATAGAACCAGGTCTGGTCGAAAGTAGACTTGTAAATAGCGTTGGGATGACTTAGAGCTAAGCAGGTTCATGCGTTAGAGACGCTTGGCTCAGCTCTCCGAGCTTCTGGAGTCCCTCCATCCGCTTCTGTTCCATCCAGCCCAGGCGCCTGAGCTCCCAAGCATCCGGCCAGTTTAGTGCTTTGAGCCACTTTCCCACCCAAAGGGCCCACTCGGTGGTTTTCTTACAATCGTTCCGTATCTCCTGTGTCCTGGTCAACCAGTAGGGTTGCTTCCTAAGCCAGAGCGGTCGACTTTATCTTTCCAACGCCGAAAGAGCTGAACTTGGTCGAATGTATATAATATATATAAAGGCAGCCTTAATGGATTTGTTTTCATAATTTAATATTTTTTGTATTTGCTCTTGTATAATTGTTTTTAATGGAAAGTATTACAGAATCGAGGATGGAATTCTTAGAACCAAAGTTATTCTTAATAAAAATCACCACACACTTGGATCACGAGTCGTTATTTGTCTGGTCTGTTGGCTGTATGCGGGGGGGGCGGGGGGAGCCAGGGGACTCTCTGTGAGGGTGAGAAGCTGTTCTGGGGGATCCTGATGGTTACAGTCCTTAACCCGCACTTCCGGACTGGCAGCTCGTGTCACATGAGACCCAGAAAGCCATGGATGGCAGTGCGTAGACACCGTCTCTTGCCTGTGGCTGTTGTCCAGATCCAGACCACATTTCCCAAAGTTCCGGGGGAGCAGACAGTAGAAGGCCGGGATGGGAGCGGACCCTTTTTCCAGCTCATGACCCAGTACTGACCGCATGTGTGAAGTGTGGCTGGGAGTTTCTTAACACCTTCAGCTAACTTCACGTTCCCTTGGGTCAGCTGGGAACGTCACACCCACATTGCATTAACACACTTTGGAAATTCACATTTCCTTCCATGTAGGCCTTGATTTTCCACCCCCAAATAATTATTCAACTTCAGCCCCCAGCTCCTCACTTTGGATCCTTTCTAAATAACCAGGTGCGATCAGGGATGTGAAGATTTGCACAGGCCAAGATTTTGAAGGCGCTGGCCTTTGAAGGTGAGTGGGCCTCAGGATTGCTGGGGAGGAGTAGCTGTGTTCTTTGTTTTGGGGGTGGTACACTGGTGGTGCTCAGGGCTGACTCCCAGCTCTGTTCTCACAGGTCATTCATGGTGGTGCTTGCGGGGGGGGGGGGGGGGGGAACCTTACGCAGTACCAGGGAGTGAACTGGGATAGCCTCATGCAAGGCAAGTGCCTGACCCCTTGGCTCTCAAGTCCAGTGGCTTTATTTTGGAGGGAATGTGGTCAGATCCTAGGGGAACTGTTCGAGGTGCTCAGTTCACTTCACTGCATCACTGCGGGGAAGGTTTATTGGCTTCTTACAATAGTAGCAATAGATAGAAGAATCTGTCATCTCGCAACTACTTCGAGGATTATGCTTATCAGTGTCATGAAAAATGCATGTTTTGTTTCCAGAGTCTTTATGTGCGAGCCTCACAATAGAATAATCCTTTCCTGGTGAGAAGATGCAGTCTGCCTAGCCACTGCGCTGTTCTACTCTGTCTTCCCACGTAGCTCCTAGCATCCCGGAGCTTGGTCAATACCAAGGTTTTTACTGAATGTTTGTTGGTGGGGTGTCAGTGGAGAGGTGTCACTCCTGGCGCCCCAAGTTTCTGAAGGACATTTATGCCCACCGAAGTGCATACTCACACGTTTGCATGTACGGGGTGGTGGGGGGGGTTGTCTTTAGTTACTGAAAATCATGTTTTTCCATGAACACAATGAACACAATGCCAGACAGGAGCATATTCTGGCTTCCCCCTCCGTCTGCAGCTCTGTTCCCTAGCGCCGTGGCCTTCGACCTTTCCCACAGGGACCAGCAGTTAGAACCACAAGCCACGGGGCAGAGCAGTGGCCTTCAGCCATTAGGCCTGCCCACAGGCAGTTGACCACCCTCCGGGGACAGCCTGGCGGCCCTGCTCCACATCCTCTGCTCCCCTTACACACCCATCTCATTCTCCAGCACGTTCCTCTCCTCCTGGGGGTCAGGACAGAGTTTATTGAGCAAAGAGAATAAACGACAAACCTTAAGGGCCTGATTGGACCTTTGCAAACGCCTTTCATGAGCCGTGATGGATGTATTCATTAGGGGTCTCCAGAAGAACAGGACCTTCAGGAGAAGGATGTTTACATGAGCTTATAGAAGCTGAGAATGGCCACAGGGTGCAGTGTGCAGCCTGGTGCCTTGATAGCCTGTGTTTCTGCTTTAGGCCAAGTCAGAAGGTCCAAGGGAGTGAGCGGGGTCTCAAAGGCAGGAGAGCAGTCCAGCACCACCACCAGGCACAGAACCTTCCCTCTAGCACTTCCTGTTCTCTTCCAGCCTGAATGCCCACTTACATGGCCACCTGCCCACCATGCCCCCTGACTGAAATGCCAAGTTTATCTGGAAACACTCCACAGAGGAGACCAGGCTATTTAATCTGGCTCCTCTGTGACCCAGTTAAGTGCACAGGATTAACTCACCACCACGTTTGGAAACAAGGCAAACACATTTTGGTAAGTGATGTACATAAACCTGTTTTTAAAATACACTTTTGAGTTTTTGATCCAAGATTTTCTTACTTAAAAAAACACTGTAACAGGGGCCAGAGTGATAGTACAGCAGGGAAGGTGTTAACCAGGTTCAATACTCGCCATCCCATATGGTGCCCCAAGCACCACCAGCAGTAAGTAATTCCTGAGCGCAGAGCCAGGGATAACCCCTGAGCATCACCGGTTATGACCCCAAAAGGCAAAAAAAAAAAAAAAAACCCAAAACCACCAATATACCTATTTGGGCCTTATTTTCCCCTTGAGATTCAGTTGCACTTGATCTAGGCTTGAGGTCATCGTAGTCTCAAAGACAAAGTTCCAGTCCCAGGACTGTTCTGGGTTAAGTCTTGGCTTCCAGTTACATAGTCCAGACTGACTCAATTATGGACCACAAGCTCTGGCTGAACCCTTTGATAATTAATTACAATTCGCTTTGTCACGGGCTTGTTAATACCTTTCCATTTATATTAATTTTTTTAAAACTTGGTGTCCTTCCCAGAAATGAAGCCTACTTTATTTCTGCTTGGCCAGTACTGCCTACCTACTGTTCAACTGCTTTAATGCTATATTGATCCTGTTTGTTGGTGGCATTGAAAGGTTCCCAGTGCCTTGTCAAAACCTAATGCGGTTATAGTAGGATTCTATCCAGATTTTTGTCTACTCAAGTCACTAAGTATGTGGTGAATTCTTTGAGAAATTATTTGTGGGACGTAGTGTTGGATCTTTGTAAATTTGCTGTGTGTGATTCATGGGATTACTTTTCTGATTGGTCATTATCCATCAGAAATTGCTCTACTGTAATTGTACTATTACTCTGGCCGGAATAGGGATGGTTTAATTAATAAGCACCCCCATGCCCGCATATTTCCTACGTGTATCCTGTTACCGTCCTACTTGGCTTTGCAATTCTTTTTTCTCTCAAGTGTCTCAAGTGATCTGTGCTCTTTTGTGGATTCAATGTCATAATGTTCATCTCTGGTTGTTTTGATGCCTTGAATATTACAGTTGGCTGGCTAATGCTCCTCAAGCTTATTGCTTCCTTTATTTTTAGAAAACACTGCTTCTAACTGTTCTGAAAACCTCCTTGCTCGGTTACAATAGCGCATTTCAGACAAGCCTGATTTTGGATCCTCACATCAGGCCCGGGACTGTGTGTCTCACAAGAAGTTCCTCTTGCTAGAGAACAGAATTGGGGCTCCAGATTCTATGAGAGGGGACAAAGGGGCACTTCAGCTCCATGGTGGGGGAGCAGAAAGACAGGAAATCACCCATTTCTCCACAAAGTTAACCCTTTGTGTGTTGGATTCGTTTTCTTAATATGCATTTTTGTTAAACCAGAACATTTTTATTACACTTTGATTCATGCAGATGTTTTCCTTTAAAATAAGAAGTATGATGAGAAGATATTCTTAACACAGAATTGTCAACCACAGAATCACAACAAAAGAAAAGAAACATATGGGTAATGCGGTATATATAGGATCTGCAGTAATAAGTAAAGTAAAAATAAAAGTAAAAGTAAAGGCCCTCCCGTTGATCTTCGATTTGCTCGAGCGGGCCCAGTAACGTCTCCATTGGAGACTTTGTTGTTACTGTGTTTGGCATATCGGATACGTCACGGGGAGCTTGCCAGGCTCTGCCGTGCGGGCGAGATACTCTCGGTAGCTTGCCGGGCTCTCCGAGAGGGGCGGAGGAATCGAACTCGGGTTGGCCATGTTGGCTGCGTGCAAGGCAAATGCCCTACCGCTGTGCTATCGCTCCTGCAGTAATAAGTAAAAGAATTTAATTAAAATCCCTATAGATGTTTAAAAAAAAGTCACCTGAATAAATACAGGGAAAAATTCAATAAAATAAAATAAGAGTTATGAGGGGAGAGTTACCTGAATCATATTTAAACCACAGCGATTTAACTGGTCTGCTCAACCCAGAAGAGACAAATGGATCAATGGAACAGAATAGAAAGTCCTGTGAGAGGCCTTGGAATCATCTTTATGATTGCAATAGAACTTTTTCCCAATCCATTAGGGAAAGATCAATAATCCAGTTAAAATTTCTGCCCATTTGGAAGCAAACCAATATGTATTCCTTTAATTCTGTAAGTAGATGAATTTCCAAGTTTCTTGACAGCGTCAGCAGAAAAATGGGAGCCTATAAATATCAGGAGAAAATGTAGGAAAAGATTTTTGTAATCCCGGAGGGTTGAGTCTTTCTTTACTAAGACATCCAGATACCCCAAAGTCTGTAATGAAGTAAATGAAAAGATTTAGGTAATGAAAATGAAAAGGTTTTGTACAAAGATGTCATAAAAATGGCCAAATGGAAAGGAGCTCAGGCAGCAAAGGCGAGACCGGAGTACAAAGCAGTGACATCAAATGTTGACAGGGCAGGATGAACTTCAGACTTCCTCCTGACTCTGTGCTCCGGGGTCTCTCCTGGTGGTGTTCAGGGGGCCAGATTTGATGCCAGGCTCTAGCTAGGGCTGACCGTGGGTGTGCAAGGGCCTTACCCCCTGTACTTTCTCTTTGGCCCAGTAAAGATCATTTTAAACCCTCTTCACATCTACTTAATCTCACCAAAGAAAGTAATAGTAACAAGTATTGAGTAGGGCGCTGATGAGAAAGTTAAATGGTGCCGCCACCCTGGAGAAGTCTTGCCGTTTGAAAAGTCAAACAGATCTATCCTTGGTCAACAATTCAACTCCTCAGCGCAGAGGCAAGAGAGAGCAAAGCTTGCAATCCTACAATTACATTATTCAGAATAGTTAATCACATTATTAATGTGATTAGCATTATACATTATTCGTAACCACATTATTCAGAATAGTTAAAAGGTGGATCAACACAAATATCTCTTGGCTAGATGAAGCAAAAAGTGGTCTAGCCATACAAC